TGGAGCCCTGGGGAGCTGACTAATGTGAAAGGTGCAGCCTGTGCTGTAATCCTCCAGAAGGCAGCAGGACAGCAGGGCTGGAACCATCTCCCACAGAAATGAGAGCCATTGTCTCCTGTCCTGGTTTGAAAAGAAAACGAGTTTTTTGGGATGCTGTGGTCAAACCAATATGGGCTCAGCTTTGAATATTGGCACCTGGTGTGGCCTCTGAGGACATGGATACACCTCTGAGAATACAGGGAGTTCAAAGCAGGGAACTCCCAGGGGGGAAGCTCTCGGGTTCTGGCGGTGAAGGAGGTCAGAGCTGCCCTGCCCAGCTGCTGTGGGCTGGGCGAGGGAGGGGAAGCCATGTGGCCGGGTGAGGTGAGGTGACAGCCTTGGACAGAGAAGGGAGGTGAAGAGGCCCCTGAGGATGGAAGGTTGGAGGAGCACCGAGAGGCATCGGGCAGCCATCCCCCAGAGAGAGAGTGAGCTGGTGCCTGGGCTTGTGCCACCTTGAAATTTGATAGCAAGGCCAGCTGAGAAGGAGAAGGAGGGGGTGCGGGGAGCAGGTGCCCGGCAGGGCAGCCGTGGGAGTTCTGAGCAGGCAGAGCCTGAGATTTTTAACCCTTTTCTTGAATGATGGAAACCTTACAAAGGCTGATCCTCCTGGAGTTGAATGAAAAGAGAGATACAGATGAGATAAGAGGAAATGGGCCACGAGAGAAGTTGAGAAGAATCATAGGTGAGAGTAGGTGATGGAGTGCTTTTGGCTGGACTTTTCTTGTATAGCCATGGACAGAACCATTTTTCCTGTGACACAGAGACTGCATTTAGGGGGAGGCAATGGCTTGGAGCCAAGAGAGTGCAGTGATGTTATGTGAAGGAGTGCATGAAAAGAGACCACGGGTGAGGAGGGTGGTGGTGCCCTCTGTCTTCAGTGAAGGAGAAGGTCTCTGTTCTTGAGACCCCTCGGCCCTCAGGGGGTGCATTTGGGGGAGACTGGTGTCCCGAAAGTGAGAGACTGTGGTTTTTTCTGGAACTGGGCAAAGCATCCTTAAAAGGGGAGCCCTAGAAGCAGCTCTGGTCCATGTGCAGTGCTGAGAGCACTGGGCATGGAAGGAAGATGTCAGGATGGCAAATGATTTCCGGGTGGGGCCACGTGTGACGTGGAAACACAAGAGGTTTCAACTGTGTTTCCAGGAGAAGCCTGTGGTAAAAAAGGGACCCCTCAGTCGCTGATGAACTGAGAATTGATTATCTAAAGGGTGGTGATGGACTGGGAGTTGGTGATATGGTGGGTGGTAACTGAATTGAGAATCCAGGTTTTGTACTACTGTGATGTATTGGAAATTTGGTGGGGGGGGGAGAAATGTTTTTTAGAAGGTTTTCATTCTGAGTTCTGTGTGTGTTTCTTTTTACATATAGTTGTAGGTTAATAAAGGTTTTCTTCTTTATTCCTAAGTTGGAGCCTGCTTTGCTGTATTCCTGATCACATCTCACATCGGGCACCAGGGAGCATATATTTTCATGGGGGCACTGACATTGTGCCAGCGTCAAACCGTGCCGTCTCCAAATATCTGAAGCTGAAGCATAAAATGCCTGATGGAGGAAAACTCAACCTGAGGACAATGGGAGGCCAGCAGTTAGACACAGAGGGTGTTTGAGGTGGGTGTGAATGCTGCAGCCTGCATCCCCACTTGGCTGAGAGGGAATATTGTGTGGAAGACTGATGGTCAGGCAGTGGGCAGCATCCCCCCCTCCTCTGCTCTGAACACTTCTAACTCAGCCTCTCTTCATGTGCAGGAGGTCCATCCCAAAGATGCTCCATTTGCCTTGTCAGGGTCTGGGAAGCTGCTGGCAGTTACTCCTGCCTGACAAAGACTGGCCTTGCAAGGAGATTAGCAGTTTGCTGTCAGTCACTAGGGCACATGGGCAGTGCTGTTCTCAGCTGCCTGAGGAACAGCCTGCAGAGAACAGTAGAGCCTTGTCCCCATGCCTCTGGGGAGTCTCCAGATAAAAGAACACATTCCCTCTCTGTCTTGGGCACATTCACTCTGTGTCCTGCTGTTGCTGCCCAGGTGAGACTGGAGGTGCTGCACAATGGGCTGGAGAGGCTCTCTTAGGTTGGTGCTTGCACATATTGGCTGAACAGATGTCTTGGAAAGCAAGGACACAGGCTTCCACAGGGTGGGCATCAATGCAGAAGCACATCATCAGAGAGGGAGTCTTCCAAGGGAGTCTTGCAAACAAATGCTCAAACTGGCCACTGTTTGGCCTCCTGAAGCTGCTTGTTGTCATCCAGCCCATCAGTCTTCCACACAATATTCCCTCTCAGCCAAGTGGGGATGCAGGCTGCAGCATTCACACCCACCTCAAACACCCTCTGTGTCTAACTGCTGGCCTCCCATTATCCTCGGGATGAGGTTTCCTCCCTCAGGCATTTTATGCTTCAGCTTCAGATATTTGCAGACAATGGCTCTCACTGCTGTGAGAGATTGTTCCAGCCCTGCTGTCCTGCTGCCTTCTGGAGGATTACAGCACAGGCTGCACCTTTCACATTGGTCAGCTCCCCAGGGCTCCAGAAGTAGAGAGGTGTCACCCTGCACCACGGCCTTGTCACATCTTGCAGGGAAGGATGAGCTCCAGGACCTGGGGTCTCAGGGCTCAGAGGGACGTGGAGACAGACTCTTCCAGATCCTGATTCATCCCAAATTCCCCAGATCAATCACCCATATTCTCTTCCTGCCCTGTTCCCATGGGCATCAGTCCATGATGAATGGAATCCTGCCTTCTTCCTACAGCCAAGGGGAGGGGGCCATGTCCAGACCCAGCAGGGGCTGCTGCTCACCACAGGCTGAGCCCAGGAGTGGACAGCCAGCAGAGGAACCTGCTGGTCAGCTCTGTCCTTCAGGGCCTGTGCACCCTCACTAGCTACACCACAGCAGGCCTAAGCCTCCTGGGCAGGGCTGGCTCTTGTGTGGAGGAGGGCAGACAGGAAATGTGCTCCTTGTCCTGCTTGTGTGCTAAGAGTTATGGCAGAGGGGAGGCGTAAAGGGGATCCTGCATGGCAAAAGCCAGAAACGTGTGGGAATGGTGCTCAAGACCTGGATAAGAAGGTCCCCTGTGGGCAGACCCAAGCCCAGCAGCCCAGGCAGGTGTTGGGAGAAGCTGTGCATGGCAGCGCATGGTTTCTAGGCTGCACAGGGAGAGGCCCTCACCTGCAGGGCCACGAGGATGTGCTGTCACCACTACCCATTCTTGAAATGACAGCCTGGTAGGCCAGGCCAGAGCTGGCTCCTTTGGGGCTCATCTCCTGCATGTTTCTAGAAGAAAGTCTCAGCCCAGGACTCCTGTGCAGGAAGAACTCACAAGGAAGATGGAGAGCCATTCCATGAAGTGAGAGACACAGTCGGATCACCGAGGTGGAGCCCCACTGCGTTTCTTTGGCTCCCTATCCTGTTTTTCAGGCTGGGTTCAGAAGGAGGCAAAGCAGGGACTATTTCATTCCACTAATGCAAAGACAGAGCCCATGGGGAGGAAAAGGTAACAACAAGGCAAAGAGCAGAAATTGCCCTGAACACGTGAGAAGGGACAAGCCAGGAGACAAGCTGGGAGGACAAGTGATGTGGGAACTAGAGAAATGAACTCAAAAGCAGAGAAGAACACATGCCTGGAAGGCAGATGCATGCAAATACACAGTGGAGAAGAAAGTCAACATGCAAATCAACTCAGAGGCAACTGGATAAAATGCTGCTTTGCAGGGACGAGCTTGACCCCCATAAGAGTCCCAAAACCAGAAGGGCTGTCTGGCAGTGGGTCTCCAGGGGAGGCACACTGAATCTGGGTCTAGATGTGTGACCTAGGGGGGCTGAAGGGAGTTTATTGTGCTCTCTGCCAGAGAACTGGGCTTAGGCAGAGCCAGCAGGGAATGAGAGTAGGCTGAGGCAAAGAGAGAAAAGTGGTGTCAAGAAATAGGTTGAGTAGGAGTTGTGAGGAAAGGAAAGGCTTGGAACTGGGAAGAAAACAATGGGAGCAGGGGAAAAGCATCTCAGGCCCAAAGAGGCCCTGAAGAGATTGCTGGTCATGTTCCCACCACAGGACACCAAGGGACATCAACTCAAGTGGCATCAGAGAAGGAGTTAGTTCTGCATAAAACACACATCTGCACTGGGAACCTGGAGAGGACCAGGACAGCGAAAAAGGGAAGGGAGGATATTTGCAGCACAGCGCTTCTCCAGGTCCCTGGTACAACCACAAGTGTCTGCTGACAACTGCTTTCTCACAGCTGCCTGTGACACTTCTCCACATTTGCTTGTGTTATTGACTGTATCCTGTGGAATGAAGTCCAATCCTTGCCAGTGTCCATACTACAGCAGTGGAAAAGGCCTTGCAGAGAGGGAATTTGTACACAAGGACATTGTTATAGGACAAAGGGGAATGGCTTTAAACAGAGAGAGGGCAGGTTTTGATTAAATATTAGGAAGGAGTAGTGGTTCCTTCCTAATATTTAGGAAAGTGAGGTGGTGAGGCAAGGGAACCAGTTTCCCATAGGAGATGTATCCCAACTCTAACATGTTCAAGGCCAGGCTGGATGGGGATGTGAGCAATCTGGTCTAGAGGAAGGGGTCCCTGCCCATGATCCAGGGGACTTGAAATTAGATTATCCATAAAATCTCTTCCAGCCCAAACCATTCCATGGTTTGTGGACTATTTCCCCACAGCCTAGAGATGGAAAAGGATAGAGAGATATGCACACAGAGCACAGGGCCTTTCTTCATTGGTCTGATACTGTATTTTCTCTTGTCTGAGATTTCACAATTTGTTAGGCAAAAACCAGTAGAGCTAGAGGACATTTTGTGTGTGACTCAACAAAAAGCAAACAGCTCTGCTCAAGGAGAAAAAGAACATTGAATCTCTGGATATCTGCCTTCCATTCCAGTGTCTTCCTCCTGGAGAACTTCATCTCTTTTCAGCCAGAGGCTGCTGGAACCACATAGAGAGAAGAGGATTCAAGAACACAGGAGCTGCTCCAAAGAGCCTGAGCCTCCCTGTGTTCCCTGAGCCAGCACATGCACTGGGGATGCTGGACAAAGCTCATTTCATTTCCACACACATGGTCCCACCCCACACAGTGAAGATGTGTCAGAGCTCCCCACCCTTCCCAGCACAGCCAGAGCTGTTCCCAGCTCCCTGCTGAGCTCCCAGCTTTACTCAGGTCAGGGGCATTTCCATCACACAATTACTGCTGCAGCTTCACAAATTCGATGATAGTTCAAACATCTGACACTATTCCAGTTGTTGGGTAGTTCAGTATCCCTGTAGATGATAACGCAATTCTCATCATAGCCTTCACTTGGTTCTCCTCTTGGCCAGAACCTGGGACACAGACAAGCTTGTTAGTCCCCAGTGCCCACTGTAAAGCCCTGCAGGAAAAGGCCACAGTGGGATGCAAGACTTGAAGGCAAGAGACACAAATTCCCAATGCTGATTCATGGACTGAAGCAGTGCCCTTCCTCCCACTCCATATCCCACTGGCACCAGTGGCACATGGAAACCTGCCTCCTTCCTACAGCCTTCCAGCACAACAGGGCCCTGCTCCATCCTGCTGGGGGCAACTCATCACCACCACTCACCCCATGCACCCCACTCCCAGCAGAGGCCTGTGCTGGACTCCAGGGAAAGTGTGTGACATCTACTTCTGTTTCACCCACAGGCACCTTCATGTCTACTCTACTTTCTTTCCCTACCAGGAATCACACCAAACACTCTTCATGCGGAAATACTCACGCTGCTGTCACATTGTAGGGAGTCTTGTCCACACACTGCTACTGGCCCTCCTGCTCTGCAAACAGTCTGATGTATGAATTGTCTCGTTTAGGTTCTTTAGATTGCCTTATCAGCTCAGAGAGGAATACCTGGCAATCAGAGAGAGAGAGCAATGTCCATGAGTGGCAGGACTGAGCACACAGAGGCATCAGAAATCACCATGATGTGGGGCTGGTGGCAGAGGGGGCTGGTGCTGCAGAGGCTCAGACAGGACCTTCCCCCTCCCCTGCAGGACAAGGAGGGCTCTGAGTCCCCTCCAGGGCCCAGCACTGTGGCTCTGCCTGCTGGGTCCCTCTCTCTGGGGCCCTGTGCACTCACCTGCTCTGCACTGCTGGTGATCACCACCAGCTGGGAGCCCATCCCAGTGCAGATCTCTGCACTGTCATCCCATGACATCATGTCAGTGGAGAGGAAATAGCAACTTCCTTGAAACCTTCTCCAGCCCTTTGGGCAGCACATCCAGCCTCGGTCTGTGCAGAGAGAGGACAGACAGATGCAGGCTACCAACAAGAGATGGTGATTGCAGACATCCAGGTTTTCCAGGAACAGTGCTCATGTCCTGCTCAGTGACTTTTCCTGACAGAAAGTGCTTGAACAAACACGGATAGTTCAGACATTCCTTCCCATTCCTTTGGGGTATGACCAGTGAGCCTTGTGTACCCAAAGCCAGGGTAATCCTTGTAAGGGCATCTCAGGGCTCTCCAAAGTTCCTTTGGGGATGTGCTTTGACCTGCCCTGACACAGCCCCTGGAGGCCCTTGGCCCCAAGGAAGAGGGGACATTGGGATACTGACCTGTGCCTTGTGGCACCGCTGAGCGGCACTCCCACTCCGAGAACTGCTCGGAGAACTGCTGCTGCTGCAGGGCTGAGGGCTGGTCACTGCTGTGGCAGAAGGGAAGCACTGCAAAGGGACAGGAAAGGCAGCAGGATGAGCCCTTGCTCCCAGCTCCTCACACAGCATCTCTGGCCCCTGCACTCTCCTTCCACCATTTCCCCAGCAAGCACGCTCCCAGCTGTCACCTCTCCTGGCCCACCCCAGGGGCACAGCTCCTTCCCAGCCAGAAAGAG